CATGCGTTCGTAAGCTTGCTAAAATACTACTGCGTTGATGTCCTCTTGTAAAAGCTGAAATCCAACAAATGCTTTGATCCATGCTACATCTCGGTGTTGGAAAAGCCCTATTGTACGCAACTCTGTCACATCTACTCTCAAACAAGACGCCAACTTCAAACGAAAACGCGTTCTACGATGCGTCTACACTCCAGCCCCATATCATTGGCGTTGACTGGTTCGAGGTCGACTTTGTTCGCCTGTTTTCGGCGTCTTGACGCCCGCGCAAAGCGGGCTTGTACCTCTGCACTCGCCGAGACAGGTGAAACCTTCGTCTGCACCTTCCCAACATAACATATAATATGAGACACACAAGACAGCTACCAAACTGATTTATTGAGCCTGTTATCCGCAGGGGAGATGTCGCCATCTGCTGAAATCGTAGGCATACAGGTCGTTTTTTCTGATGCTATGATTCCATTGTCAATCTGTCTCTGACTCTTATCAATGATAGAGATGGACTCGTTGTGTCATATTAAGAAAAAATATATATATACCTGCCCGCGAAGGCGGCGAGACGTGTGCCTGTTGGTGTGAATGATCGACGGAGCTCCACCCCCCCCCTCAAGTCGGGCGTACACACACGGAGCATACTGGCCCACACTCCGCACACCACCGCCGATGGCGCGCCTCCACCGTGCCAGGATGGGCCATGAGCGGTACGCTGAGTGCATGCGCATCCTCCTGCTCGCGGCAGTGTGCGAAGCGCTAGGTGAGGAGGACCTATTGCTCGTTTTGGGCGCATATTGCTCGTCGCGCCGACACAGCAAGATGGCATGAGGTACGACTTCATGGAGGTGCTTGGTGGGTTCGACTTCAAGGAACTGTTGAGGTTCGAGAAGCCCAACTTCCGTCGGCTTTTGGCGGCGCTGGAGCTTCCACCCGAGTTCGTGATTTCGAGGTGAGATGGCACGCTGCGGCATGAAATCTCATGCCTCTGGTCCTCTTGGTTCAGCAGTAGACTAGTCTAGTGCCGCACACAAGCGAACGACCGTGCTGCAGTGGATCCCTCGGGAATATTGAGGCTTGTGGATGCTGCTAAGGCGTGTTGTTGCATATGCAGGCTAAGGGTTAGGGCAATGCGTTTGGTGTCGATTCGCAGCGACTCTCTTCTGGATGTAGTCCTATCACTCCGGACATTTTTGAAATTTGAAGATGTCCGCCTCTCTCTGTCGGTTTAGGCGACTACTACTGCTGTTGCGGCCACCAAAAAGAGGTTCAGGTTTTGGGGTAGGAGACGGAGGTGTACAAGCGATAAAACTCCCGGGGTGACTCACGCTTGTGACTGTCCCACTATCCGCTCTTGGAGGAAACAACATTGAAACACCATTGTGTGCTTTGGTGTTTTTGTGAAACGCCGTAGGGTTACCCTGCTTATGTTGCTTCTCTCCGCCAAGGTGTCCCCCAACCTCTCCACAACCCCGACTCCCTGTTCCCGTGTTGTGTTTATGATCTCGCCTCGTATTTTTCACTGGGCAGGGGGGGGAGAGGAGTGCTAAGAATTCCGGCACGTCTGTGTTTGGCAGTCACTCTGTGGAGATTTTCTGCGCCGACGACGTTGCTACGCGATCGCCTTGTTTGGGGCATGGGGGAGACACTCGTATGCGAGGTGTTCAATGTGACCATTGAGGCAATACACGATCGATGGGGACACCTTGTGCGGGATTTGCAGGTCGATGCTATTCTTCCTAAGATAGGCGACTTCTGTGAAGCAATATCTAGCCGCGGCTCGCCCCTTCCACGCTGTTGGGGCTTCCTCGATGGCACAATTCGAAAAATCTGCCGTCCTGGTCGTTGGCAACGTATGTACTATAATGGATGGAAACGTCTCCATGCCCTCAAGTATCAGGCAGTAGATTCTCCGGACGGTATCATTCGCCAGCTTTGGGGTCCTGCCCTCGGTCGCCGCCACGATGTAGCGCTACTAGGGGAGAGCGACCTGCTTGCTGTGTTGATGCAGCT